TCCTGATTTCATCCCTGCGTGCCAGAGCAATACTCTTATATTGCTCCCTAGTCGTTTGTCCAAATTTCCACTTCTTGTAAGCTTCTTTTTTGTGTTTTAGCTCACTGAAGAGTTAGTTCCCTGCTAAGCCAAGCTGCGCTTCTGCCATACTTGCTAGTCTTCCGGCACTTTGGGATAGTTCTTTTCTGAGTCCTCTGTAAGGTTTCTTTAAAGCACAAACTACACTCCTGGATTCCTTTCCCTCTCAGACTGGCCCCTCAAAAGATCCTGTCCATCAATTCCCTGAGTTGAAGTCTGCTTTCCTGAAGTCCAGAGTCCTTACACTGCTGCTCTCCATCCTTCCTTTCCTCAGGATCCTGAACTTAGTCTTCTTGTGGTTGTTACTACCCAAATTACCATCCACTTTTACACTGCCCACCAATTCTTCCCTGTTTGTCAGCAGATCAAGGAAAGCATAGCCCCTAGTTAACTTCTCCAGCACTTGCACCAGGAAGTTGTCCCCAACACTCCAAAAACTTCCTGGATTGCCTGTGACAGGTGTATTGCCTTCCGAGCAGAAGTCAGGTTGATTGAAGTCCCCCATGAGAACCAGGGCCTGTGATGAGTCTGCTATCTGTTTGAAGACGACCTCATTCACCTCTTCCTCCTGATCTGGTGGTCTATAGCACACACACACCATGATATCACCCTTGTTCCTCTCCTCTCTGACCCCAACCCAGAGACTTTCAACTAGTGGAGCACCAATACATCAGTTCATATCATATCTGCCCTGATAAAAGGAAAACTGACATTATTGGCAATCGGCTATTTTTGGCTGACTGGGCCAAATAAATGTCGCCAATAAATGCTACGTGCATGCGTGCAGCTGCAGCACGCACGCAGCAGCAGCTTGGAGAGCAGCATCCTGCTGATAAGATGGGGCGGGGGGAAGGGCGTTGGGGGGAAAGGGTGTGGAGGGGGCAGATCAAGGCCCCCACAGCAAGGGAAGGAGTGGGGCTGGGGCAGGTGCTGCCCAGCCGCAGTAGGTCAGGGTGTGAGAAAAAGTCAGTGGCTTGTCCAGAGGAGGCACAGGGAGGCGCGTGGCTCCCTCCGTTGCACGTACCCCCAGGGGAGGCATGTGCCCCCAGACCTGTGTGTGGGGCAAGGGTGGGTTGCTGCTGTAGGATAGAGCTGGAGGCTATGCTGGGCTCTTCCCAGCGGCTGTGCTCAGGCCAGGTGGGGTTGGGTAGGCAGCGGCAGCGGCAGCACTGGGAGGGGGGCTATGGTGAATTTTGGGGTGGCTCTAGCCCCCCCCATGACCCCCCACCCAGAGCCACTGCCGCCACCTGCCCCACCCCACCTGAGCACAGCCCTGGCCCAGGCCACCCCCAGTGGGAAGAGGGAGGCATAGTCTCCGGCCTGGAGCACACAGCAGCAGCCTACCCTCACCCCACACACAGATCTAGGGGGCACATGCCCTCCATGCCTCCCCCAGAGGTGCGTGCAGTGACAGAAGCTGCACTCCCCCTCCACCAGATGTGCTGCAACTCTGTCCCGCACCCCACCCCAGCTGTTCAGCGTCTGTCCCAACCCCACTCCCTTACTGTGGGGGCCCTGTTTCCCCTCCACCCAAAAGACTTACCAGCTGGATGATGCTCTCCAAGCTACCAGGACGCATACTGGCAATCGGATCAGTATCAGCCGATATAGCTGGTTAATAATTGGTCACTGGTATCAGCCAAAAAAATCTTTATCTGGGCACCCCCACTTTCAACAGGCCTATCTCCAGTTTCATACCAGAGCTCTGAGCAATCGTGTCGCTCTTTCACATTAAGTGCAACTCTTCCTCCTCTTCTCCCCTGCCTGCTATTCCTGAACTGTTTGTACCCATCCATGACAGAGCTCCAGTCATGAGGGCTATCCCACCAAGTCTCTATTATTCCCCCACATGTCAGTTCTGTGATATGTGCCCAGGAGCTCAGCTACTTCCTGTTCCTTGCTGGCTTTGGTGCTGGCAGTTTACTGTTCTGGCTGGGCCACCTGGTGGGAGCAGCAGGGAGGGGATGGGACTTTCCTTCCCTACAGCAGCAAGCAGCAATGCCTCACCCTGCACTTAACCTGACCCCACCCCCTTTTACTCTCCCCACCTGCCCTTTTTCTCAAAGTCTTCTCTTTACTGTTTTACTTCTCCAGCCTTCTTGTGCAAAGGGAATGCCCAGCCCAGCCACACAGACTGCAGGCAGGTCAGGCCTTTTGAGATGCCATTTGGGAATGCAGGCCAAAGTCCACCAAGTAGAGCTATAAGCCACCGTTGACAAAGGGGGCTACTCAGGGGACATCACTGATCGCTCGGGACAACTAAAGGACCAAACAGAGTTAGGAGTGAATGTCACAGGATTAAAACAAATGCAGTGAGGGGACACCAAGCAGAGCATGCCAGCCTGTGCCCATTGGCCCTCACATGAGTTCAAGGAGCCAGCGGACACTACCCAGGGATAGGAACAGGGCAGTGAACGGACCAGAGATAGGTCCTCCATCCAGAGCCTTCTTCCTGGCCAGGTGGATTGCCAGGTTGGGTAGGGCCACTCAGGCAGGCCAGGCTCTTTCCACGCAGCTGCTGAGCGACTGAAGCAGGAATCCAACATACTCTGGATCCACCCCTGGCCATGTCCCCTGCTACACGTGGAAATGAAAGCTGGTCACTGGCTAGGAAGTTACAGCACGTTTTCCCCTCTCACATTACAGTGGGCCGGACTTTCTGAGGTGAGCTAGAGGCAACACTTTGCATGCGTGGCTGAGCTAAACTGGCGGTGCAATTTGCCAGTCAAGCACAATACGTGTAATGGGGTGATGGGGCCCCAAGTGATGCAGGGCCATAGTGGGCAAGGCGGGCCCGTGGGCTGACCCAGGATGTGACAGCTCTAACACAGTCTTCTGATCACATCCAACACCGTATTGGGGAGTGGGGGAGACGCCACCCCACCTGCAGTTAGTCTGGTACAAAGCACTGGGGTAGAGGCCGCCTGGGCTGACCAGAGCCCAGGGAGCAAAGCTGTGGTGAAGAAGGCCTCTCCTCCCCTACCCCAATGGTCTGTGCCCAGCTGACTACAGCCCAGGTGGCGCCTTCCTCCTCCCTCCGTCAATCAGATGGTGCCTTCCTTCTCCCTCCATCCCCGGGTGGAACCTTCCTCTCCCGTGGTACCTTCCTCCCAACCCCATCCCCGGGTGGAACATTCCAATCCCCCTCAAGTAGTACCGTCCTCCTCCTTCCATCCCCAGTTGAAACCTCCCCCCCCCCTCCGCTGCCAAGTGGTCGAGCCCTATGGGGTCTGAATCGGAGACGTGTGCGTGTGGGGGGAGGGCTCAACCCACGTCAAGCGCCGACCCCCACCCCAGGGCCCCCGACAGAGGGTCTCCCGCCTAACCGAGGGGCTCCCTTGCTTCTGTTGCCGCCGCGACCCAGCCTCCCTTTACCTCCATGTCGGAGCCGCAGCCGGTGGCGGAAGGGAAAAGAGGAAAAAACTCAGCCTAACGGCTCCTCTGCACCCCTCTGCATTCCTTGCCCTACTTCCGCCTTCGTCATCGTCCCGCGCCTCTAGCGTCACATTCTACACCACACCCAAGGTCGCAGCGACCGTTCCCTTACGTTGCCAGGCCCGTCCGCTCTGCGCACGCGCGAAGCCGAACCAGCACCGCCCGGAATCCGTTGCACACGTTAGAGCTAGGGGCGGGGCGAGCCCCGGGCTGTGTGGGCTCCCCAGGTGTGGCGCTCGCCGGCGCTTGCTAATGTCCGTTCAAGCCCACCCCACCAACGGATGCCAGTTCCCTACCTGCCTTGGACTAGTGAAAAGGGTCCAGGGAGGGTCTGACTCAATCAATCATCTCAGGCTTTAGGAGGCCAGAAGGAAAAAGGGGACGAGGCGGCCTTTTCCAAACGCGTTCTGTGGAAAGGGCTGAATTCCATTTGTAATTAGGAACCAGGAGTAAATGTATAGCTGTTGCCAAACATGAAGTGCCTTTGGGAACAGTTAAGGTGGCAGTAGGACATGCTTCATGGAAGAGAAGCACAAAAACCGGGAAATAAAAGGAAACCTGCGTTTCTTGCCCCTTCTATGCTGCAAAAACCACCATTAATGTACTCCAGCACTCAACAAAGTTTTCTTTTCTGACGCCAGCTGATCCCTGCAAGCAGCATCGTACCTAGACTTCTGGCGACCCCGGGCAAACTTTTAGTATTGACCCCCCCCCCCCCCTTTGCTGGAGATAATGATAATAATTATTTTCACTCCCTTTCTGTCTGGACCCTGGGTAACTGCCCAGTTAGCCCATGCCTGTGGCTCTGCCTGCAAGCAACACATAGTTTAGCTTCATTTAACATGCAGCCTCCCTCAAAAACCTTAACAGTAAGTTATACAGGCAATCCTTGGACTTACGACACAATTGGTTCCTGAAAACCTCATCTTAAGTCAAAACGTTGTAACTTGGAACTGATTTGCTCATAAGAAATAATTTTATAAATGGGGGATTTATATTGTAAATAGCAATCATATTGATTTAGAAGGACTTCTTTGAGGTGACTTTGCTGGATGTTTTGAAGGGCTCGGTTTGACTTTTTGAAGGGCTCTTGGCTGGAGTCTTCTCAGGAGTCTTGGCTGCAGGTTTTTCTGGAGTCTTGTCTGCTTTCTTAAAGAAAGTGTCCAAGGAAGTTTAGACAGATGTTCTCCAGGGAGATGAGCAATGCAGTGAACTTGTTCATTGGCATGGCATTGCATCCCAAGCGTTGTAAGTCAAAACTGGCGTAAAGTTGAAACAGGGTGTCAATTTATAAATGTTGTAAGTGTGAAATGTTGTAACTCGCAACGTAAGTCGAGGACTGCCTGTATATCAACTATAGCAATAGATAGGCACCCACAAGCCACAGCTCCAGTACATTTGAACACTTCTGAGGTCATTGCTAAGGTTTCATTTGAGAATGCTAGGAGGTTCCCCAAGCAAAAAATTAAACACCATACTTGACCAAATCCAAAATGACTTTGAATTTAAGATGACCCCCCAATAATTAATTATATACATGAAAAAATATAAATGTATTAAATTATTCCACGTATAGAATCTAGTTCTGGTCACCTTAAATTTGTCACTCCCACTACTGCAATGGGAAAAGGCAGAGGCAGGGAAGTTTCCCTGCCTGCCCTGCCTCCCCTGCCCCCCTGCCCCAATACTGAATATAAGTGCCTACCCCTGGGCACTTGTCCCTCCCATTGTTGCTTTCCCTATGTGGCAGCTATAGCTTTGGCCCAGGGTGACTCCAGCCCCATCTAGGCAGCAGTGGCAGCAGCAGCAACACCAGCAGCAGCTTAAGCCCTAGGTTGGGGTCTGAGCCAGAGTTGGACCTGCGGCAGCTCGCCTGCTCCTGTGAAGTCTCCCCTGCACTGTCCTGGGCTGCAGCATGCAATCTCTCTGCCGTGCCCCCCTATCCACTACACCATGCTCTACCCCCTCTGTACAGTCTCTCTGTGTTGCCCTCCCCCACAGTCTCCTTGCACCCTCCCCTGCACCATGTGGTCTCCCCATCATCCTGCACCATGTGTTGTCCTGCAAGTCAGGGCCAGAGTCAGAGATGTAGTAGCTGCCTGTTTTTGGACCATGCTCCAATTTAAGATGATGGGGTTTTTTTATCCCATGTTGAATGGGGAATAAACCTCATTGGGATTTGAGTAAATACAGTAATAATTGCTCACTAACTTATGCTGATGTTAAACCATAATTTACAAAATATAGTCTTTTAAAATAAGAAAGTCTGCTTTCAAGAGGCATTCTTTTGTTGTGAATCAGACAAAAACATACTATGGTCCTACAAAGACTAGTATCTGGGTTTGAACCTTTGGATTTCTGTTTTACAATAATATTACTGCTTGAACTACAAAAATAGTGTATTTCAAGTTCATCTATATGAAGATGAATTGGACACACACTTTTCTAGTGGCTTACCCAATTTTTTTCTAGTCAGCAATAGAATATCTGTGAACAGGACTTATAAAGTCTCTCTGAAGCTTTGGCTCATGGATGCATGAATAGTGGTTAGATGATAACCCAAACTCAGTTACTTTAAGACAATGTGGAACATTGGAAAAAAAATCGTGAATTTTATGTAAAAGCCTGGTTTTAGATCTGCAGTGATCTTTTTGCAACCTATCTCCCAACTTATCTGAGAAATAGGGGTAGGAAGAATAAAACATTTAGCATTTTTTTGCAGTTTGTGTTATAGGTTAGTTTTCAGAAGGTGGCCATTACATAGGGAGTGAATTGCAGGGGGATTTAACCACTTAAATGAGGTCTGAACTCTTGGTTTCCTCTGTCCCAGCTCAGAGAATTATTCATGCAGAATTATTGTCAAATTAAAATTTGGTCAATTTACTATGTCTTCCATTGTGGCTAAAACATTCTAAAATGCTTTATAGGTCAATTATATAACTGATATGGTAATTGGTAAATCATGAAATAAAACAGAATAGGGATGGCAAAAGATGCATTTCTGAAAATGAAAAAGATATTGGCAAATAGTAAAATTTCTATAGGGACGAAGCTAAGCATTTTGGATTGCTAAATTTCATAGATTTCATAGACATTAGGCTGGAAGGGACCTTGGAAGATCTTCAAGTCCAGGCTCCTGCCCCAGGGGCAGGAAATCAGCAAAGGTCATAGGATCCCCGCAAGATAAACATCCAAATGTCTCTTGAAGGCATTCAAAGTAGGTGCTTGAACCACCTCCAGCGGCAGTCTATTCCAGACCTTCGGGGCTCGGACAGTAAAGAAGTTCTTCCTTATGTCCAGCCTGAAATGGTCATGGAGGAGTTTATGACCATTCAACCTTGTCATCCCTTGGGGTGCTCTGATGAACAAACGTTCCCCCAGATCCTGGTGAGCACCCCTGATAAACTTATAGGCATCCACCAGATCACCCCTGAGCCTGCACCTTTCCAGGCTGAACAATCCCATAACTCTCAGCCTCTCATCATAAGGTCTGTTTTCCTGACTTCTGATCATGCATGTGGCTCTCCTCTGGACTCACTGGTTATACCAGTCCTCATGTATACATCAGAATGCTGGACAATATTGCCAAGTGTGGAAAAGAGAATTGAAGTCAACTGGGATGTAGTTCTTAAGGCACATCTTGAAGGTGTGTTGGACAAGTCATACCTCGAAGGAAGATATTTTGTCAAGAGCAAGCTTCAAGAGGAAGCTGCTGATTAACATCAGAAAGAGACAGTTGGAGTTTCTTGGACATGTTATGAGGAAAGACAAAATTGAAAGTCTGGTTGTAACTGGAGAGACAGAAGAAAGGAGAGATCATGGAAGACAGAGGTTGACTTATGTCAAGAGTCTATCTAAATGTATCAACGCTGGAAATTTTGTATGCCTCAAAGAGAAGAGATCTCTAGAAGACTATGGTCACTAACGTCCTATTTGGATATGCTATGAAGAGAGAGAGAGAGATCCCCAGATTCCATAATGGCTTTTTGGAGGCTTTTTTTCCATAATCAACTAGAAAACAAAAGTATTATGTACATTCTTGTGTGTGTGTGTGTGTGTGTGTGTGTGTGTGTGTTCACTCATGCGTGCAGCATCCCACAGGTAGATGGGGCTACTCCATGTTGTATTTGTCTCCAGCTGCTATCTATAAACATAATCTATCTGCCAGGTGTGCGGGCCGGGAGCGACCCGAGCCCTTTTCACGCTGCACGCGGGCTGTGGCCAGCAGCCTGGGCACGCCGGGGCAGAGAGGGAAGGCCTTCGAGCTGGAATTAGGCACGGACGCGGAGCGATAGTTTTAAAAGATTATTTACTTACACCGAGATGGCAGTGGTGTAGGCTGGAAAGCTTGATTAAGTTGCAGTTACAGACAGACAACAGAGACGGTCTCGTGGAGGTTGCTAGGCTCCACGGTGCAGAGCTCCGGATGCTCTGGGTGAACGAGCCACCAAAATAGGAATCGTAAGTACGTCTTATAAAAGTTGCGTTCGAAGACGGGAAGAGGTGGGCGGAGGATCAGGCCGCCACGCTCCTCTGGATCTCACACAGGGTTTCTATTCCCCTGCCGTGTACCCAGAGGCCCCACGAGATGGATGTGGAGTCCTCTTCGGCTTGGGCGGAAACTGCTCAAGCCTTTTATACGGCTAACAGGCCAATCGCTAGCCGCCACGTGGGAATAATTTAGCACTAGCCAATCCCGGGGAACGAATCTGCATACCGGTGGCGGGAACTCTTTTGCACCGTGCATTCCTCTTGCAACTCGAGCAATGCACTCTGCAAAAGAAGCTGCAGAAAAGGCGGGAAACTCGTCCCTGCACCGGGGTTTCCTCTTGCTACAGGAAACTCTCCCGTGCAATGCTCTGCAACTTGACGGGGATAATTCTGGTGCCGAAGCACACACACAATCATGCCTTTTGGGTCATGACACCAGGGAGTGAATATTTTTCCACTACAACACATAGCTTGCTCCACAGCATGTGCAGAAGCTGGAAAACAGGGAGCCTCTCATATGGAGTTGAACTGAAGAATGAGGTCTTTCTGGAGACACATGTTCACCATTCTGGCCTCCATAGTGTTATAGTATCCCACTTTGAGGTGACATCGAAAACCTTGCCCTGGTTGGGTTTGGTGACCTGA